TCATAGTGGAGAGTGGATTCTAGTTCATGAGCACTAGTTTATTGGGAAGGGAACTTGTAACACTTGAAAAGCATGTTGCAATCATGTACAAGAAATCTTGATCAAGACTAGAACCAAAATCTTGTGGGAGCTACCTATAACACACTTCACTTTCCTCTCTATGAGTTTCACATGATATTGGCCCCACCATGATAATAATTATTTTCTCACAACACAACACAATTGATGTTTATTTTTTCTACAACACAACACAATTGTTGTCATTATTTAATGTCCCACCATGAATATTAATTTGCAATGGTGCTAGGTGTACGACACAAAATACTTCTTTTTAAGGTGAGGTGTAGGGGTATTTGTAGCCTGCTGGGCTTGTGGGCACATTACGAAAGAAAGTAATAGAAGAGGGGAATGGGGCCAGAATGGAAAGGTACCCTTCTGTAGGGAATTCTATGGGTCGTATGAGTCTATGAATGTTTTCTTGTGGGGTTCTATGCCTTTAGAGCCTTTCCTTTATGGTCCCATTTTTTGAAAGAAAGAGTGGGGTTGAGATTTGGTCATGCCTTGGCACTTTCTCATTGCTATGATGTTGTGATATGTCACCTAGTTTGGATCTAGACAAGGTTGTTGCTTCTACTTTAGGAGATTGCTTTTTGTGAAGCTTTATAATGGATGTGTTTTTTTTTTGTTTTTTTATTTTAATTAGATTTTTTTTTTAATTTTTAAAAATCCAAATTAAATTATAAAAAAAAATTACGAAAATGGGGAATTAAACCTGATCATCTAAGACAAAAATAAAAAATAAAGAAAAATAAAAAACATGAATAAATTAACCAAATCGTCCTCACATCCATAACTATTTGAATGCATGTGTTGCACCCTCCAACTTAAGACAAGACATCATATTCATTGACCATGTTAAGGCAACCTTCAGCAATATTATATTGGTAAGTGATTGACGGAAAGAAAAGAAATGGAGAATCCTAAAATCACTTTAATAGGAAGAAAATGAATGGAGAGATATGATATTTCTATTTGATTCTATTATGGTATTTATGGTAGTTAAGAGTCCTAAAAGTTCATAAGAAAGAAAAAGTTGAAAAGCACTTGAGTATGCAATAAAATATGGAATTTGAACCTTGTAACTAAAAGCATCACTAAATATATTGAAGAGCGTAAAAAAAAATTATAAGGAAAACTTAAAATTCATCGACTAGAATGGTGATTTGTAAAATGGTCTAGAAAAGATTAAGATATTAAATAATGATCGAGAAGATTGGTTACTTTTCAACAAATTATTTTTTAAATATAACTTTATTTTTCAGTGTAGTATATATATATATATATATATATATATATATATATATATATATATATATATATATATATATATATATATATATATATATATATATATATATATATATATATATATATATATATATATATGCGTGTGTGTTATAGTCATATCAAAAGCACTTTTAATATTGTAAGTTTAACAATGTTTTATTAAAAAATATTATCATTTTTCTATATACTACTACATTCGTGCATGCCCGTGTCTCTGTGTTGAGATTAAGAGTTTCAATCCTAATGAGTTTAATTTTTTTTCAAAAGATTTTGGAACATGATGAAGGAAGATGTAGGGATCATGTTTGATAAGGTTCATCATTTGGTATCACTACCTCATAGCTTTGACTCCTACTTTGTGATTTTTATCCCTTATATAAAGAGCCCCTCTCTATTGGGAGGTTTTCCACATATTTCTCTAGTTGGTTCTCTTTATGAGTTGGTAGCCAAAGTTTTATCTAAGAGACTAAGGCTGGTGATGGACAATCTTATGTCTCCTAATCAATCAACTTTCTTAAAATGGAGAATATTGTTTGATGGAGTGGTTGTTGTTAATGAATTGATTGATTTATCTAAACTCTTTTAAAAAAAGCTTGTCTCATCTTTAAAGTTTATTTTGAGAAAGCGTATGATTAAGTTAGTTGGAGCTTTTTGGATTACACGCTTAATAGATTTGGTTTTAATAATAAGTGAATGCCCTAAGTTAGAGCTTGAGTCTTTACATGTAACTTGGTTGTGTTTGTTAATGGCTCTCTAACTCAAGAGATTATAATTCAAAGGAGTTTGAATCAAGGAGATCCTCTAGCTCTTTTACTCTTCCTTTAATTTTGAGGTTTTCCACCTTCAGCATGCTGATGATTCCTTAATCTTGGTTTATCCTTTGGTTAAGAGTTTATAGGTTATAAAAGCTATATTGAATGGGGTTTGAGCTAACTTCGGGTCTTGGGGTTAATTTTCATAAGAGAAGTTTGATTAGGATTAATGTTGACCCAACATTTCTTAATTTCAAGGTTGAGTCTCTCCTGTTTAGGTATATGGTATTAGGACTGTTGGACCCCCAACCACTGTCAGACAAGATAAGGGGCCGCCTATCCTCGAGGGTTTTAATCTATGGTCAAGTTTGATGGGCGCAGAGATCCCTATGAACATGTTGCCTCCACCAATATACAAACGGCCATCATAGGAACTCTTGACTCTGTGAAACGCAAGCTTCTATTTTCCACTTTCAAAGATGCTTCCTTCAAATGGTATATGGGTTTACCTCGTGCTTCAATAAATAGTTACCAGGAACATGTAAAGAAACTGGTGCACCAATTCACTGCCAACCGCGATAGAAAAATGTCCACTGCCAGTCTATTTAATATATAACATAATCCATCATAGTCGCTGAGGGACTATCTTTCCCGCTTCAACGAGGCCACCATCAGGGTCGTCCCACCAAACAAAGAAATGTTTGTAGGGGAATTCCAAAGTGGAATTAAGATGGGACAATTTAACGAATCTCTCACCCATAAGCTAGCATTATCGTTGGTAGAATTGGTCACCAGAGTCGAGTTCTACATAAAGGGTGAGGAAAACAATATCAAAAAGAAGGAACGTGACATCAAGGAGCATGTTCCAACCACTGAGATCTCACACCATTAAAGGAAGAGCAATTATACCTCGCCCATAAAGGATAAATTAGCGTTCGAAAGGGTAGGTAAGGCAACGAAGAACTTCACACCTTTGAACATTCGCCATGAGAAAATATGGAGAAAGGTATTCCACTTACACAACATCCCTACACCGCCTGCTCCTAAGGCGAATGTGATGGGTTATGAACCAGGAAGATGGTGCAAGTTTAATAAGGTAAAGGAACATCACACTGAGGACTGCTATCAACTCAAGAAGGAAATTGAGATGCTAATACAAGAGGGGCATCTCAAGAAATATGTGAAGGGTAACTTCTCCCATTCATCGGAAATATCTAGCTCACACGGGCGTGACAATGTTGGAAGCCCAAGGCCCTACAAAGCCAAAGATTTGCATCAGGGAGAGGACGTCAAGGCTATGCGTCATATGCTTAACACTATAGTAGGAGGGTTTGTCAGAGGTGGAGAAACTAGCTCCGCCAGAAAAAGGTACGCCTGCCAGACTCTGAGTGTAGATAACCTTTTTGGGCTCAAGATTGAAGGCGATCTCCAAGCACCAGAAGCCATGATTGCCTTCTCGGAGAAAGATGCAACTGACATCCACCCTCATAACGATGATCCCATGGTCATTACCATCAAATACAAAGACTGGAAGATTAAAAGGGTTTCATCAACTAAGGGAAATCTGTAGACATATTTTATTGGGAGGCGTTTGAAAGACTACGCCTCGATCTACACCCTTAAGAAGATCACTGGTTGGATTCTCAAGAGATAAGGTACATATAAAGAGATATATCACCCTAAGGATCACCTTTGGAGAAGAAGATCAAGCTAAGGAAATAAAATTTAGGTATCTGGTTATCGATGCTTCCTCTTTATATAATATGATTATAAGGCATCCAACCTTTAACCAGTTGTGAGCCGCCTTGGGGGTATCCAAGGAGATCAAGAGATCGCTAGAAAATGTTACGTAAAGAGCCTCAAGTTTAAGAGGAACTGCACTTAAGGCGAAAGGGCCAGAAAGATAAGCTTAGGGATAAATCTACAGAGGAATCCACAAAGGCAAGGAAACCTCTTCCCCGACCTCTGAGGAGACTGAAGGCTAATTATTTGGGAAATATACCCCCTAAAGATGTCAGCATGGATACCATTTTTTCTTTAATATTGTTTTATTTTTATAGGAGAGTATTGTATCTCTAGAAATTGTAAAGAACACGTTACTTTATGAAGTGCACTCTTTTCCATTTTTATGCTCTTACAATGGGAAATAATTTTTAATGTGGCACCTCACTTTTCATTATGTTAAAGTCTGTACATTTGGCTATCCCTTTCTTTGCAGGAAACTTAAGAGTGCAAGAGAAGATTACCCAATGAGGCAATCAATTCTTGGATCCTTAAGTGGGATCCTTGTCACCCAAGGATACAATAAATTGCTAGATCCTCAAGCGAGATCCTTGTCGCCCATGAGGCGATCAATCATTGGATCCTCAAATGTGATCTTTTTCGTCCACGAGGCAATCAATCACCAGATCCTTAACTGGGACCCTTGCCTCCAAATGAGGTAATCAAACGTTAGATAATTAAGTGGGATCCTTACCACCCATGAGGCGATCAAATCTTCGGATCCTCAAGTGGGATCCTTGCTGCCCAAGGAGGCAATCACTCGCTGAATCCTCAAGTTGGATCCATGTTTCCCATGAGGCGATGAATCGTTGGATACTTTACTGGGGTACTTTCCACCCAAGAGGCGATCAATGTTGGATCCTTTCCTCTCAATTAGGCAGTCAAATCGCTAGATCCTTCAATGGGATCCTAACTTCTCAGTAGGTAATAAATTTCTAGATCCTTAAGTGGGATCCTTGTCGTCCATGAGGCAATAAATTGTTGGATCCTCAAGTTGGATCTTTGACACTCATGAAGTGATCAAATTGTTGGATCCTTAAATGGAATCCTTGACGCCCAATGAGGCGATCAAGTAGCTGGATCCTTAAGTAGGATACTTGTTGTTCATTTGGCGATCAATTACTGGATCCTTAAAGTGGTATCATTGAAGTCCACCAGGGAATCACAACCATAAACTTCCTTAGCAAAAGGTTCAAAACAAGCAGATAATGATAAAGCAGTTAATATAAAAGGAACCACAAAGGTACGCCACTATTCAAAACGATTAAAAAATCACTTGAAGGGTAATAGAAATACAAACAAAAAACCCCAAAGGGGCACATAAATACAAGGCACTCCAAGGGTCAAGATATAAGCCAAATCATCATTCTTCCTCCTAGTTCACCATCTCCTCAACAACATTCTCTGGTTGAGTAACTTCGGACTCACCGCCTTCTGTTTCACATTATGACCATAATTTTTGTCGATTGGAGTTGGGATTTTAGGAGAGGACAATGTATCCTCATCTAAAAAATCACTATCTCGCACGACTTTTAGAAATTCCAAGAGACTCAAATCCAGATTGGGATAAAGGAATAAAACCTGCTCCTTAGCATGCTCGAAGTAGACGTCGGAAGCAGACACAACATCACTGATAAGCTCTGAAACATCCTTTTTTAAACCCTTCTAGAGAAGGAGAGAAACATTCAAAAAATATTTCAAAGATTTACTCTCAATTGAGACCTCTTTTTCCTTGGACTGAACATCCACAAACCTTTTCTCCCATTTATTCTCATTCTGTTGGATGGACTTCAACAACATTTGGATATCGTTATAGGCATCCATCTTCTCTTTGAGTTTTTCCTCTAGCTCTTTTACAACCTTGTAACGTCTTCCCTACCCTACCTCTAGTAGCATGAGCGCCCTCATGAAAATAGTGTTATTTTTATTCACAATGGTCAAAACTGAATTAGAGTAAAAGGCTTGATAATCAGCAGGAAACTATTTGGGAAATGGGAAGTGACAACTTTTGAACCGGAGGGTGTTAATACCAACATCATTCCATCATGACGTGGGATCCAAAGGAGCCCTTTTTGCAGAGTGCGTCGCCACTGCCGTCTTGACGATGATAGAAGGGGGACCTTTTTCAAATCTTTGAGCCTTGGCATATGGAGAATCCATAGCAGACTCCTCAACTAACATTTTTTTCCCTTTGAGGATGAAATCCTCATGATATCTCTTTGGGTTGCTTGTACCCATAGGGGAAGATTTAAGATTCTCCGACCTTTTCCTACACTCCTCAACCATAATACTTTCTATTTGATCTGCAAAATAATACATGGATCATAAAAGGCACACAAAAGCATGCAAAAGGAAGATTAAATGTAGTTTACATATATAGGTGGTGAGATGCCTACCACCTCTCATCTACAGATTAATTACTTCTCGACAGTCCATAATATTGAACTACAAAAAGAAGAAAACATTCATATTCTCCTCGAGAGAAAGGAACGTTGGGTCGTATCACATGATTATTACTAGATCATCTTTCTGGGATAGATCAAAGACGGTGGCGCCATCAAATCCCAGTATCCAGAGGGAATTATATCTTCCTTCACCCAGGACAACGTTTACTTCCAATACCTATAATGTTTAGAGTGAGAGGTGAGAAGGCTTCTCGTTGTTTGACTACCTAGGGACACCCAACTACCCTTTGATAGGTTGGTGGTAAAAAAGGAGAAAAGACCCCCGCGGTCGGAGTAATGTCCAACTCGTCACAAACCATCTCAAAGGTCATGGTATTTCTCCATCTATTGGGAAACAATTGAGAAGGAACGACATTAAGAATTATCAACACCTATGTGAAAAAAGAAGAGAAGGGGAAAGTAATCCCACGTCTATTTTGACATGGAGGTAAAAGTAGAGGTATACTGAATGAGGTTTGGATGAAACAGGAAAGTTCACCCTCTTCGATGGCGAAAAAATATCAAGGATGACCCAATCCTTATTCTCTAAAGAAGAAACATCTACTCCCGATCGAAAAAGATGAATTTGCTTTTCTGATTAACTAGACACAAAGTCACCAGCATCCTTGGACACGATGGAGGAGAAAGATATTTTATTCTTGAGAAAATAGTAGAACAAAAAGAAGTCACCACCGCCATCATAATCGTCAGAAAGAGACTATTTACCTAAAGCCCAACATATAACTTAAAAACCCTAAATCAAGCATACCTTCACAAAATCCATTATAGAAAATAAAGAAAAGAAGGAATCTATACATGAGATGAGAGGAGGTTGCGAGAAAATAGATGACATGGAAAAACAACTTGGACGGACTTATAGAGAAAAGGGTAAAATGGAGAAAATGCTAAGAGAGAAGTCTTTTATTGTGAAAGTAATAAAAGACTCTCAGAATCCCCACATGGTTTTAGAAAAACTCAGCATGTTTCTAACACATGGTTTAAGGTCTCAAAAAACGGGCCATCATAGATTACATTAAATAAAATTAAGCACAAACATGAGGGCATTGATTGACATCCTTGGCCGACATTTCTTAGAAAAATATGGACATCTGGTAGCTGATTCATCTATTAAGAGTCATGATAAATAGACATGTTTAGCTGAGGGACTTTCCTAGTGCGCATGGTCATCATCGTCTAGAGAAATTATTGACATGGCAAGGGGCACACTCTCATAGTTTAAAAACACTCCGCCCTTAGAAAAGCCAACATGCTTGATGGACTATGTAGTGTTATATTTGTGGAGGCTGTAATCCAAGACACCCTCGCCCATGAGTCGCGTATCCCAGGTGATGACTCGGAGATCCACCCAGAGGTAACCCTGACGTGTGTGAAGAAGTGAAAAACACAAGAAGGGGGGTTGAATTGTAAAACTTGAAATCAAATGCAGACAACACGTTATTTTTATCCTGGTTCGTTTGATCTCGAACTACTCCATTCCACCCGTCAAGGTGATTTCGCCTCTCTCCAACGAGGTCTTAATCCACTATATTCAACTGAATATTACAACTGCTTTAACAACTGCTAAAGCCTTCTTGAGTCTAAACCACAGACCGGTTTCTCAAGGAAATTCTTTCTTACAGATAAATGAATACTATGTGTGTTGAATGTTTTCTACAAAAACTTTATATCACCACTGTGATAATACACAAATTAAGCTTATGTGAAACTAGGATGCTATAACTATAGAGTAAGCAATTTGAGAGATATAGCAAGCTGTATGAGTGAGGATGAAGATGATTTGCTTTAGGCGTGTAAAGAGTTGTAGAGCATTAGCCAATTCATTTCTCACTGACTTGTTTATATAGCCTTGGAAAAGATACGTTGTAGTCAATTATTCCATTTCAATGCCCATTACGTTCTTTCCATATTGAGAAGATCTTTGTCTTGGAATAAAGCCGTTGGTAATAAAGTGTCTTGAATGCACAGTACCGTTGTCAATTCAGCGTGTTATTGGCTTTGGCTTATTCTGACACTTCTAGGTGCTGATGATATTGTTTTGGTCTTGATCAGAGTTTAGAGTATGTTAAGCGCAAATCTGTTCATCAAGCTTCAGCGTAAGCACATGCTTTGATCTTCTGATGCTGGCATATGACATTTCATCTTCTAATGCTGGCATATGATTTTTCAATTTATTTAATCTTGCATTTTGTTATCATCAAAACTTTAACTTAGGGTAGTACATTCAAACTTTGTTCTAACAATCTCCCCCTTTTTGATGATGACAAAAACCGGATTTTTTTCAATTGAAATTTAAAGAAAAAAGTATCAGAGATAACCAAATAATAAATTGTATCAGAGATAAACAGAAAGGTATCAAAGATAAGAAGATAGGGAATAAAAAGGTATCAGAGTTATGATCAGAAAAACTCCCCCTGAGTTTATTACTTCCCTTTAATTTCATGAGTCCTTTAGCATCAGATCTTTATTGAACTTTCTTTGAGCATCAGATCTTTCCTTTACCAGAGCAGAGCTTCAGTGTATTAGAGTTCATAAGATTCTTGTACCTGTAAGCTTATGCAGAACAAAGAAACATTCAAGTATATCAGAGTGCTATAATGTTTGAGACTTTTGTCTCAGTAATCCGTTATTGAAAAATATCATTCTTTCTCCCCCTTTTTGTCAGCAATCAAAAAGTGCAAATAATTGAAGTTAAAAAGATCAGTGCAGAAAAACGATTGTATTCAGTTCAGAGCTCAGAAAATATTACAAATAACATGTAAAGAAAACAATGAAAACATCAAGAAACAAAATCTAAGGAGGGGGTGGAAGGCGTGTGAACAGAGCTTCTAGCATGTTCTTAATCTGATCAGTGGTTTCCTTCTGCTGATGCACCATGCTGGCTACTGAGTCAATCTTACTATCCTGAACATCCATCCTTTCCTTCATTCGTTAATCATTCTCATTCATTCTCTCCTGCAGTCGAAGATCATTTTGCTTCAGCTCTTCAAGAGTCTGCCTGTCCAATGCAGCTTGAGAGGTGTCAGAATCAGGATGCTTCTGAGAGCTTTCTGCAATAACTTCTTCTTGACTTAAATCTTCAGCTATAATCGTCTGTTCTTCTGCTGGTTGAACTGTTGAAGCTTGACGTTTTTCAGACCAAGGCTCACTGTCCAGATGAAGAACTTCATCCTTCAGCAGCTGACTCAAAACTGGACCTTCAATTTCTTTCACCAGATTGCTGAAGTTCTGTTGAGCCTGTCCATAGCTTTGGTCCTGCAGCTTAAAGGTTTCAGCGCATACCCATCTTCTGAAGAGTGTCCAGAGGTGGTTTGAAACAGCAGGATCAATCACTTCCAGACTAGCCTGTTTTAGAGAAGAAATCCACTTCTGCATATCTGTTTCAAAATTCAAGATGCTAAAACCAACATCTGGTTGTTTGGGTTTGGGAATGGCAGTTTTATTGATAATGGAAGCAAGGCATTCAAGGACTGTTAGATCAATGAAGGTCTTGCTGTGGTCATCTGGATTTTGCTTGGGTGAGGGAGTAGGAGAATCAGGAATGATTATTGGACTGGATGGGGTATTAGGTGGAGTAATTTCTGGTGAGGATGGTAGTTGAGGGATATTAACAGTGGTACCACCAGGAAATTGCATGGCTAAGGGTCGTGGTTCAGAGGATTCAGATGATTGAGGTTCAGGGGATTGAGCCCCAGAGTGTTGAGACTCAGGTTGTGGAGATGGAGGTTATGGAATTTCTGGTTCTGGTGAGTGTGAATCTTCTGGTATTGGTGAGAGTGTAGTTTCTGGTTCTGGTGAGTGGGGAGTTTCTGGTTGTGGTGAATGGGGAGTTTCTGGTTGAGGATTTGGATTTTCTGTATGGGGAGCGGAAGAGTGTTGATCTATTTCAGAAAGAACTTCTTCAAGTTCTAGTTCTGTTGAGGTTGTAGGTTTTGGATTATGAGGTTTGACGCGGGATCTTCTGAGGGTTAATGACTCAGAAGGGTCAAACTCAGGTTCAGTATCATCAATGGTTGGAATGGGAATTGGGATTTCAAATGAAGTTGGGGTTGGAATAAATGTTGGAACAACAGATGAATTTAAAACATTAACAGAAGACAGATTACCTCTCTTCTTTGGGGTCTGCTGAGACGATCCTTCTTATACAGCCTTTCTCTTATTAGTATTCTTCAGAGTAACCTCTGGTGTTTGCTGGTGCAGATCTTTAATGTTCAGATCAGGATCTGTGCCATCATCTTTACAAGCATCCAAGTATCTGAGAACAATGACTGGTTTAGAGTCAATCTCAGAGAATATAGGAAAGTTGTCCATAGGGACTCTTCTGCTGGTGATTTCAGCATGAGGAGTGACGATGGGCTCCTTCCTTATGTTCTCTATCAGCTTCATCTTCTTCATATTCTTGACATTCAGCTGCTTGCCAACAGAAGGTTCTAGAGAGCTTATTTCTTGTGCCTCTGTCAAGTATTCAATCAGCCTATTATCCGTTAGAATATCTGATATCAATCTGCCGAAGGGTATCCAATCCCTTTTAGTCCTTTCTTCTTCTCTCGTTTCCTTGACGCTTGTCTTCAGATGATTGAACAGAAGATGAGCTAGGTTGATCTTGGACTTCTTTGCAATAAAATAAATCAGAAATTGCTGATCTATGTTTATATAGTCAGGAGAGCTTGTAGGCTTCCTGTGGTTGAAGCAACTCAGAATAATCTTTGCCCAAATTCTGTGCTGATCTTTCAAATCTCTTATTTTGCTGGAGGGAACCCCATGTGTGAAAATCTCTCTTGCAACTAGGGCAGAGTTTGCACATCTATCTGCCATGTCAATATA